GCAACAGTAAGAGAGAAAGGAAGAGGAGAGGAGGAAGAAGGAAGGAAGAAGAAGAAGAAGAAGAAGAAGAAGAAGAAGAAGAAGAACGAAGAAGAAGAAGAGAAGAAGAAGAACAAGAAGAAGAAGAAGAAGAAGAAGAAGAAGAAGAAGAAGGATGGAATGCATTGCAACCTGCGAGCCTCGGGGATGCAGACCGCCGGGGCATACCACAGAGTCATGCATTAGTGTGCATGACTCGACGCCATGACGATTCGCTGGCCCTGTTCATCCCCCTGGTGTGATCGCGTGCAAGAGCACCAGAACGGAGATAGTCGAAGCCGGGAATACCAATGTACTCTTTCGTACCTGTATCTCTACATAAGCGAAAACGGACTGAGATAAAAAAAAACGACCCCAACCTCCACTAAATGTAGATAAAACAAGACAAAAAGTATAACTGAGTAAAATAAATAAATAAATGTAAATAAACCATACAAAAAGAACAAAGAATCAAACACACATAAATGAAATATACAAAGAAAAAGAAAAAAAAACAAGAAAAAGAAAAAAAAAAAAACAAATACCATTTCTCATACAACCATTAAACCTTTCCACTCCCAAACGACATATTATGCAAACTCCCTACAAAACTCCTACGACCACCTCAGCACGTAACCAACTCTCGCCTCTAATTGGCAATAAAAAAAAATTGAAAAAAACACCCCCTAAAGACGAAAAAAATCGAATAAAACTTTTCCAAAATGTAACATCAGTTGGCAACCTGGTACCTGTGGTTGTTTTTGCACCTCACGCCCGACCCAGAAATCCATATATAGCAACAACACGCGCGCAGCAGAGAGAGGAAAAGAAAAAAAGAAAAAAAAAGAAGAAGCAAAAAGAAAAAAAAAAAAGAAAAGGAAAAAAAAAAAAGCAAAAAAGAAAAAAAAAAGAAAAGAAAAGAAAAAAAGAAGCAAAAAGAAAGAAGGAAAAAAAGAAAGCAAAAAAGAAAAGAAAGGAAAAAAAAGAAGCAAAAAGAAAGAAAGGAAAAAAAAAAGAAAAAAGAAAAAAAGGAAGCAAAAAGAAAAGAAAAGAAAAAAAAAGCAAAAAAAGAAAAGAAAAAAAAGAAGCAAAAAAAGAAAAAAGGGAGAAGAAAAAGAAAGAAAGAAAAAACGTGGATTCATAGATTAATCCTTTAGCTGTTGTAATCTTAACAGCTTTATTCCAGTTGTGTCATATTTTGAAGAAAATAAAAGAATAAAAAAGAAAGAAAGAAAGAAAGAAAAAAATAATGGATTGAGAGATTAATCTTTCACAGCTGTTGTAATCTTAACAGGTTTATTCCAGGGGTGTAATAGTTGAAAATAAAAGATAAAAAGAAAAAAGAAAGAAAAAAAAAATTGAGATTAATCTTTCAGTAATCTTAACAGTTTTATTCCGGGGGCGTAATATTTGAATTCGAGGGAATGGAGGGGGTGAGTGATAAGGGAGGAGGGAGGAGGGATAGAAGAGAAGAAGAAGGGAGAAGAGAAGAGAAGAAGAAGAGAGAAGAGGAGAGGAGAGAGAGAAGAGAAGGAGAGAGAAGAGAGAGAGAAAGAAAAGAGAGAAGAGAAAAGAATACTATTAGATAAAATAAACAGCCAAAGAGATAAAAAAAAGAAAAAAATCCACACCATGAACTAAAACACCAACGCACGAAAAAAAAAAAAAGAAACAAAGAAAGAAAAGAAAAAAAGAAAGAAAAAACCCAAATAAGGCACATATCTCGCAAGACCACCTCCCTCCCCCCCTAACCCCTCTAGCCCCCCTCCCCAACCCCCTAACCCCCCCTCCCCACCCCCCACCCCACCCGACCCCCCATCGTGCACATCTTGGCCCCGTGATCGCCCCAAGGCCGCCCCAAGGGAGAATATTCAAGACCAGGGCATCGGGAGGCAAGGAGAACGGCTGAGGTCTGTCCCGATTCTTGGAGTTACTTCCGTGACAGAGAGAGGAAGGGGAGGGAGGGAGGGAAGGGAGGGAGGGAGGGAGGGAGTGAGTGATAGATAGAGGAAGGGAAGAAAGAGATCAGGGGTGACAGGGAGGGAGAAGGAAGGAGAGGAAAGGAGGAAGGGATCAGGGGAGGGAGGGAGGGAGAGTGGGAAAGGGAGGAAGTGATAGATAGAGAGAGGAGAAGGGAGAAGGAAGGAAGGGAGAGAGAAAAGATAGATAGAGAGGAAGAGAGAGCGAGAAATAGAGATAGAGTGAGGAAGGAGGAGAAGTGGAAATACAGTAGCTAGATAGAGAGAAAGAGAGAGGAAGGAGGGAGATAGGGAGAGGGAGAGGATGGATGGATGGATGAGAGAGAGAGAGAGAGAGAGAGAGAGAGAGAGAGAGAGAGAGAGAGAGAGAGAGAGAGAGAGAGAGAGAGAGAGAGAGAGAGAGAGAGAGAGAGAGAGAGAGAGAGAGAGAGAGAGAGAGAGAGAGAGAGGGAGAGAGAGAGAGAGAGGAGAGAGAAAGAGTGAGGAGTGAGAGTAAGAGTGAGAGTAAGAGAGAGGAGATGGAGAAGGAGAAGAAATAGACAAATAGATAGGAGAGAAATAAAATCAAACATAATTCAACCACACAGGGCAGGAAACGAGGAAAAGAAGGAGGGAGAGAGAGAGAGAGAGAGAGAATGAGGGAGTGCATATGCGTGTGTGTCTGCGCCCGTTCACCTTCTCCCGGCGTCATAACAATTCCAGGTGTTGCAATGCTCACACCTTGTCAAGACTTCCCATTTTATTTCTTCTTCAAAATCATTCCCACTTCTTAACAGAGAACTTTTTAAAACTGAAAACCACCGACCATACTATGGCAACACTCACGGAATACCAAATCGCATCATCAATACAAAAAAACGACAACAAAAACGAAGAATGAATAAAATGACCAAGGACACCCCCTCCCACTCTCACTCTCACTTGTTCACCTAAAGATATCAGCTGATTAAAAACACAATTTCGAAAACTAACGATCCGTGACCGCGAATTACCAGTCTAAAAGACTAATTGGAGTAATTATCACCAAGGGAAGTATTTAATTAGTCTAGAAAGTGAATTTGATCAAAAGATGATAAAGGCGATGAACATCAGGTAGATAAGAAACGATAGACATGGCAATAAATAAGAAAAAAATACCAATTTTCCGAAATAAACTTGATAAAAGAAATAATAAATAAGAAAAGCTGATCACAAATAAATAAGAAAAACAGAAAGTAAAATTACATTAAAAAAACACGAAACGAAACCAACGCAGAACAAACCATAAACAAAAACATTAAAAAAAAAGAAAAAAACACAACAAAACATCGACACTCAAAAACTTCGCCAGACTTCGACGAGAGAACCGCCCGCGACGCCCATCTCCGCCCCAAACACTCACCACGGATCAGCCGAATCGTCGTCATAGGCCTCGAAGCCGCCCGCGTCACTGTCCTCGACGAAGATGGGCGGCGGCGACGAAGGCAGCGAGGGCGAGGGCGGCAGCGACGTGACCAAGTCCTCGAGGATCATGTCTGGCGGCGGCGGCGGTGCTGATGGCGAAAGTCCGCACTCGAAAATGACGAGACTGGGACTTCTGCGCCGGCCATCACGCCCCTGGACCCCCTCGATCGCCTGTCTTTATCTCCGCCCCTCGCTCCGCCTCCTCTTCCCCTCCCCTCCTCTCCTCCTTTCTCTTCCCTCTCCTCCTCTCCTCCTCCTCCTCCTATCCCTCACCTCTCCCCTCCTATCCTCTCACCTCTTCCTCCTCCCCTATCCCCTATCGTCCTTCTCCTCCCCTCCCCTCCTCCCACCCTCTCCCCACGCACCTTTTGAAAGAGAGCCACGCCCACGTCGACAATGTTAATATCACGTGTAGCGGTCATAGGTCACACAGCCGAGAAGACGAAAAAAAAAGAAAAAGAAAAAAAAAGTGCTTCAACTTGGTCTTTCATCTTTTATCAAAGTTAGGATGACGCGGCGACGGCGAATATCTTAAAATGATACTCTTTGTTGAGTCTAATGACAAAAAAAAAAAAAAAAATCATGAAACAACTATTCACACCTTTCGTGACTCGCATTTCTATTGGCGTATATATTCAAATATCCGCGACCAAAGAAAGAAAAAAGAAAGAAAGAAAAATCACTCTAATTATACATAACCTTTTATCAGCTGATGGATCACATCTTTGCACAATTTAAGTGAAAATTTAACTCCGAAAATACCAAAGGTCTTATCCCCACGACTGTCCTCCACCCGGCCTCCGCTCCACTAACCTTTTATTTTGTGCTTCCCGCTAATGAAAACGTGTCGCAATAAAACTTCCTTAGAATAAACGTATACAAAATATAAATCAAGAGCGTTACGACAACGAACAGACGAGTACAACAGCTTCCTTGTGTCCGAGATTTGAGAGCTTCCGCGAGAGAGTAAAGAGGAGCATTAATTGGCAAGTCCTGTTCGACCCGTCAGCTGATCTCGTCCAGCTGATCGTCAAAACAAAACAAAACGCGGGCAGAAGCAACAAACATAACGAAACAAAAAAGTAAAAAGAGGGAAAAAGGGAATGAAAGAGATCGGAAAAATATATGTCGATACGAAACCGTCAGCAAGAAAAAAAAAAAGATAAAAACCCTAATAACCCTATACATATACAACAACAGAAATAAAAACAAAATCTATGAAAGAGCTAAATACCATGTCTTGATTCGTTCCCTGCCGCTGATTCTGTTTTCTATTCCTGCTCTTCTTCCTCCTACTTCCTTCCATCCTTCTATCCCTCCACCAACACTACCACCTCTTCCTCCTCCTCCTCCATCACCTCCTCTCTTCCATCTGCTCTTCTATCTTCAACAACCACTCCCCCCCAAAAAAATAAGCAAAAGAAATGAAGAGAAAAGAAAATGAAGGTAAAAAAATATAAAAGAAAAGAAGAAAAAGGAAAAAAATAAAAAGAAAAAAAGAAAAAAAAGAAAAAAGAAAAAAGAGAGAGAGAAAAAAACGAAAACCTTCAGGCACATTACCTTGTGTAGACTGGCTGGTCCTCCTCCTCGTCCTCGAAGGGCTTGACGGTGACCTTCCTGCGGCCGAAGTCCAGGTGTGTTCCAGGGTGCATGAGTTCAGGGGACATGATGCGACTGGAGAGGGAAGAGAAGGGACAGGAAGAACTTGTTAGTCCAAGAATAATCTCCGAAAGTGGGATAAAAAAAAATTATAACGTCCAAACTGTAATGATAAATGATTGCGTGTGAAAAAGGTGCTATAAATCAAATCTAAAGAGCAACTTCCAATACATAATATACTTTGTTTGCTTCTGAGTTTGCTGATATATATTATTTTGATACAATAACCATGATGGAGAATCTGTACTGCCTTCTAGTTTAGTTTTATATAAAACGTAAAATTTCAAAACCTTACTGTCACATATTTCCTGAACTTAAATATATATTTTTACTTCAGAGCAGTCCAAAACCGACATTTTCCTCGTCTGTCACTTGATGAATGTCCAGTAACCACAGATAAAAAGGATTACGTGAGGGGTCTCAGTGTCAAAAACCACTAAAACTTTACTAGACGAATCATTTTCATCAATAATCTTACACAATCCCCCCAACAGCTGTTCTGAACTCGCTCTATATATATCTACCTGTCCAAGCATCACCTTTTAAAAAACTGTAATTCCAACCGAAAGTGTCTGGAGTTTCGTCAGTCCTCTAATCGCTGAAGAATCACCCATTGCTATTACGGTGGTTGGATGTAACGAGCCTTTAGCAGCGCCCCATGTGTTGTGGTTTTATCTTGCAACACGAAGGTCTTTTGTAGGATCCAAATTTTTTATCTTTGAAAACTCTGAGTCCCATGAGCGATTGCTGTTTTATTTTTTGTTCTTTAATTATTGGGAAGCAACGTTTAATTTACACGAAAATATCAAATTTACAATAGCAATGGATTAAAGATTATGTTGAAGAACTTTATATGGATTATGCAGTGGACTAATATCTTCAAATCTTATCTTATCAAGGTTGTGGAATATATATATATATATATATATATATATATATATATGCATGTATATATGTATATATGTGCATATATGAACACCAAGATCTCAAAATTTACAAAGTATACCAAAGGTGATAACCTACTTTTTTTCTGCCTTCGTAATGACGAACATCCTGCGTAATTTCACATCCACAAAAGCTCAATGGACCGCCCCAAAAACACCGCCAAAATAGCAAACAATTTCGCAACAATTTGCACTAGATCACTCTGATATAATACCACCAACTGCAGACTCCAAAGACGAAAGTCATTGTTACATGTCTCGTTTAAAACTGAACATCAGAAGCGTTTATTTTTCCGCATGTCCCAAAAAAACAGAAAACGCAAAATAAGTTCGGAGATACAGACACAAAGATTATTCTTTACTTCGCCATCATCCTATTCTTTGATATTCTTGAGTTCTGATCGTATGGAAAAGATTTTACTGATAATCGAGCAATGATTTTTTATGGGTATGTGCATTTCAACATTTCGAGGAGCTATTATCGTTAAGGTCGATTGTGATTATTCTTTTTATGAGAGAGAGAGAGAGAGAGAGAGAGAGAGAGAGAGAGAGAGAGAGAGAGAGAGAGAGAGAGAGAGAGAGAGAGAGAGAGAGAGAGAGAGAGAGAGAGAGAGAGAGAGAGAGAGAGAGAGAGAGAGAGAGAGGAGAGAACGAACGAACGAACGAAAGAGGAGAGAGCCTATGCCAACAAAGCTTCTCATACCATAATGTCGTTCCAGAAGCAGACACATTGACAAGAACGTAAACGACAATCTGTAGAACCATAATGACCATTCGAGAGTCGGGTGAGGAAAAAAGCTAGTGAAACAAGACCATCATTCATCCTTATGGTACCGATTCCAAATGGTTCATGAGGTTGACGTCCACTGCAAAGTTATCATCAATTCTACATTTAATAGGATATCAATGGCGAATTACCATGAGGATCCTTTTGACTAATTTGAAGAACCTATTTATCTTTTGTTACTGTGTGAATTTAACGTGGGGTGGAATTAAAGAGACTGGTTAAATCTATTGGTTTTTGAAAAGGTAATAATTGCCAAGTTTCCATGACTGGTAAAGGAAATGTCATTGGTGGCTAAAAATGTTCTTATTGGTTTCTATTGTTGAAAGTCAAAATGTCGCGACCGTATTTTCTTCAATAGCAGTTTTGTAACCTCCCTCTTGCTGTTATTTTTCTTCTCTTTGCTTTATTTTTTCCTATTTCTATATCTTCCTACACTTTTACACTATCGAATTTCTTCCTTTCCTACATATTTTCATTTCTATTGACTTTTTTCTACCTCTTTTTATTTCATTTTCTTCCTATCTCTTTCCTATATTTTTTCCGTGTTCGTTCCCTCTCATTATACTTAATTTTACATCCCTTTTCCATCTCTTTCTTGTATCACTGTTTTATTTTTGTTCAAATCTGATTCCACTATCCTCCTCCTCTATTTTCCTTCCCCTCTCCTCTTTGCCCTTCTCACATCCCTCTACGTCGTCGAATTAATTTTGTTTCCCCTTCCTCTTTCCCTCTCTCTCCTCTTCTCCCTCATCCACCCGGCTCCTCTCCTCTTCTCCCTCATCCACCCTGGCTCCTCCTCCTCTTCTCCCTCATCCTCCCGCCTCCTCCTCTTCTCCCTCATCCACCCTCCTCCTCCTCTTCTCCACCTCCTCCTCTTCTCCCTCCTCCTCCCTGGCTCCCTCCTCTCACCTGTTGGATCCGTCGCTGCTCTTGTCCTCCGAGGAAGCCGGGTCGCCGCACTCGGAGAAATTCCCTTCGTCGGTGGTGGTCGTGAGGGAGGTCAGGTGGTCCTCGAGGAGCTGGTCCCTGGAGGCCGAGCTCCGCACCTCGTCGTCGTCGAGGAAGTTCTCCCTCGAGGTGGACAGCTCGCGCATCCTTCTGAGCTCGTCCTCGCGTTCCCTCAGCTCGCGGATCTCGAGGGCGATCTTCGTCTCGGTGGTGTTTGCGGGCGTGGGCGTGCTGGGGAACCGGACGTCGTTAGGTCAACACTTCATCTCAAATTTTCAATACACTGGATGCACGTCTAACACAAACCCGAGACTCACATTCGATAAAGATCTAACAACATATATGAGGCTAAAACTCATCAACACATCCCCAAGATTTAATATATATGAACACTTACTCGAAATTAGGACTTAATATCTATACACTTTAAACATACCCAAGACTAAAACTAAATAAAATTACAACACAACCGTGATTCAGATTTCATTTCAACCCTTAATCTACTAAAGAAACGCACACAAGCAAAACAGGAAGACCCCTTAACGTTACAATCCCTCATTATGACAACCATACGCAACACAAACACGTCACTCTGAAGGCACGAACCTGCTGCCGAAGTACTCTGGCGGCGGGCTGACGGCATCGTAGATCACGGGCTCCCCATCGTTGCCCGGGATGGCGTGGGTGAAGCCGTTGGTGGGCGTCGTGGCCACGTCCTCGGCCAGGCGGTCCACGAAGCCCTCGTCGGAGTCGTGGCTGGCGGGGGAGAGAGGCGCCCTTCTCACGCACCACCGCGTTCTTGAGGCAGCCCTCGCGACGCAGCTCCTCCTCCTTCTGCTGCTGGGCGCGGATCTCGGCCTCGATCACGTTCTCCTGCGACGTGGGCTTCTTGGCCACGGTCTCCACGATGCGGGCGGGGCGGGCGGTCTTCTGCTGGAGGGGAAGGGGAGGAGGGTTAGTCGCTCGTGCCTTACATAACGACGCTAATGGCACCCTGATTATTGGCTTCTTGTACCATATTTTCTCCCCAGAACTACGAAAGTATTTTCCTAAATAATTTGACCATAGGAAGTTATTATTTACTCGTATTAATTTTCCTTCAAAAATGTCGATTAATTAGCGTTTTATTTCCGCCCTAGTCCAATCTAATACTGATTACTCAAATCTAATCTAAAATAACGCTAGCAATAATTTTACAATAAATTAAGCATAGACAAGCATCAAGAAAACATGTTAATAACAACTATTATTCAGAAAAATCTTGACTGCCACTAGTCTTCAATATTTACCCTAAATATACTAAAACTTGATTCAAATGTACTTGAAATTTGCTTTTAAAAATAACTCATATCAACTCAAAAATTACTAAAAAATCTGCCAGAACACATACTTAAAATCTACTAAAAAAAAAAAACACTCAAAACCTGCTTAAGAAAACATACTCAAACCTGCTTTTAAAAAATCCTCAAAATCTGCCAAAAAAATACCCCCAAAAAATCTGCTAAAAAAAACACACACAACCCAAACATCCCGAACCCCGCCACTCACCTTGGGCCCAGCCTCGGACACCCCGTACACGTACTGCTTGGCGGGGCGCTCCTCCTCTCTCTCCGGGGCGCCCTTGAGCTTCGCCGGAGCCTCCAGGGACGGCGGGTTGGACTCCTCTGACTCTGCAGGGGAGTTGTCGAACTGCGGAGGGGGGGCGGGGATGAACTCCAGGGGGGGCGTCACCGTGCGGGGGGATTCCTCCTCCTCCTGAAGGGGAAGCGGAAGTGTAAGTAGAAACGTAAGTACATTGAAGGGAAATTCTAAATTCATGGGATGGTTTGATTATTTTCCTCCTGAAGGGGCGAGAGAGATCAATAAGGGAAAAAAAACTGAATTCATGAGACATCTACATTTTAGATAATTTTTCCTTCCTGACGGGGCTTAAGAGAACGATAAATTAATGGTAATTCTGAATAATAAATAAACCAATTGAAAAAAAATAAACCCGAGAAATAAATAAACCAAGAAAACCACTAATTCAATATCTCTTTTTTCGCATTCCTTCCGAAGGGGGAAATATATATCTTTTGACTTAAACATCCACACGATTCCAAACTCCTGAAGAATAAAATCAACTAACCATGAACCCAACTTTAAATTCACAGAACTCCCCCTTTCGAGATAAAACGACCTTGGGGATCTGTGCAGCGTCGTAGCACTTCTTATCTGAACTGACATGACCTCCCGCCTCCAGGCATTCACTCCTGTTATCACTCCGACGTATCTCAAACTCTCCAAGTATCGTATCTCAAGCTACTTCTTGGAAATGATCCGCTCGACAATACTCTCGATGATAAAAAAAAAAAAAAAAAAAAAAAAAAAAAAAACGCTCGACAATACTCTCAATGATAAAAAAAACAAACTTCAAAACACATACTTTCGTCTCATGCCACGCCTCGACCTTCACCTTCCACGTCGATTTATCAAAATTATCTCGTACTTAAAATGCTTTTCTACTTCATGTGCAATTTTAGATAACACTTTCTTTCCCTGAACGTGTCTGAGTGTCGTTCCAAGCACGTAGACGTTGGCAATACTCTCTCAACCATTAATCTTCCCCTGTTCCATGTTCCCTCCCTCTCCCTCACTCCCTTCCAGCTCCTCCCTCCCTCATTCCTCTCCACTTCCCGCTCTCCCCTCTCACCTGAACGACGTCCCGGTACGTGGAACCGGCGTTTTGGCAACGGTCTCCCATCCACTAACTCTAATCCCTTTTCCTTCCCCTTCCTCTTTCTTTTCAGATCCTCCTTCCCTCATTCCCTCCCCCTCCCTCCCTTTAACCCCTCCCACTCCCCTCTGCCTTTACTTTCTCTCCTCCTCCCTCACTCTTATTCAGATCCCCCTTCCCTTATTCCCTCTCCACTTCCCACTCTCCCTCTCTCACCTGAACAACCGGCGTGACTCCCGGGACGTGGACCCGGACATTGGCAACGCTCTCCATCCACCCTTTTCCCTCCCCCCTCTCCCACACTCCTTTCCTCATTCCCTCTACCCTTCTTTACCTTCTCCCCTCACCCCTCACTCCTTTTCAGATCCCCCTCCCATTCTTTACCTTCCTTTCCTTCTTCCCTCACTCCCTTTCAGATCCTCCTTCCTTCATTCCCTCTCTCACTCCCTTTCAGCTTTATCCCCCATTCCTCAGATCCCCCTCCCTCATTCCCTCTCCCCACCTTCCTTTCTCCCACTCGCCTCTCTCCCTCTCCCTTCTCCCCTTCTCATTCCCTCTCCCCTTCCCTCTCTCCCACTCTCACCTGAACAACCGGCGTGACCCCCGGGACGTGGAACCTGACGTTGGCAACACTCTCCTATCCACCAACTCTACCCCTTTTCCCTGAATTCTCCCCTCGTTCCTTTTCAGATCCTCCTTCCCTCTCCCTTCCCTCCACACTCCTCTCTCATTCCCTCCCCTACCCTCCCTTTAACCCCTTCCCTCACTCCCTTTCAGATCCTCCTTCCCTCATTCCTCTCCCCACCTTTCCATCCCCTCCCTCTCCACTTCCCGCTCTTCCCTCACTCCCTTTCAGATCCTCCTTCCTTCATTCCCTCTCCCCCCCTCCTTTCATCCCCTTCCCTCTCCTCTCCCCCGCTCTCCCTCTCACCTTCCTTCTTCCCTCACTCTTATTCAGATCCTCCTTCCCCCATTCCCTCTCCCCTCCTCCTTCCCTCTCCTCTCCCTTCCCTCCCCCTCCCACTCATTCAGATCCCCCTTCCCTCATTCCCTCTCCTTTCCACTTCCCACTCTCCCACTCTCACCTGAACAACCGGCGTGACCCCCGGGACGTGGAACCTGACGTTGGCAACACTCTCCCAACCGCCTTCGTCCATGGTGGCCAACATGCGATTCTCCCAGTAGGTCTTCGTGGCTACCTTGTTGTCGAGGATGCTGAAGTATTCCACCTCGCCTGCCGATAAGAATGGCGGATTAGTTATGCGAGGAGGTGATAGGGCCAAGGGGGCGGATGGTGCTCAGACCGAAGTAGTTTGTAGTTTGTAGAAGGTCGTTTGGCTATAACTGGTAATAGGGTTGTTGTTGTCATTAGGGTCATTGTTGTTATGTTGTTTCTTTTGTGTCCTTGTTTTGTGTAGTTTTTTTTTTCTTCTTTGGAAAAAAAACAGACAAGTAAAGGGATGCATAAAAGTGACAATTGACAAAAACAACAATAATAATAGTAATAATAACAATAGTATAACAATGGTGGTAATAATAATGATGATGCTAACAACAATAATAATGATCACAATAATAATAATAATAATAATGATAATAACACCAACAAAAATGATGCTAATGATAACAGTAACGATAATGATAAGAACATCAATAACAACAAAACAATAAAAGCGGTCACATTCATACCAATACTACTAATATATATATTAATAGCATAAATAATGATAGTGTTAGCAGTAATAATAATAACAGTAATAATAAAACAATTTAGGCTATAATAATAGATATAATGATAATAATAATAATAATAACAATTGCAGCCTGATTTCTCTCACAACACTGAAACCTTTTGATGACGATTTTTTTAACAAACAGAAGAAAAACAAACATACAAACCCTTACACCTATCTACCCTAGAACTATAACCTCCTTCACTAGAACAACAACACACACGATGAACACAAGAGAAGAACACGAACACGGATGTTCTCCTTCCACAACAGCGAACAGAGAAAGGTCACCCACACACTGCCAGCCTGGAGACCGTAGATCAACATTCAAAGTACACATTCAACCCAAAATAACAGGTCTGGAGAACAATTTTCTTGCAGGAGGCAGAGGCAAAAGAAACGCAAGAATGAGCATGCACGTATGAGGATGAGGGAGGGGGGTGGGGTGGGGGGGGAGGGGAGGAGGGAGAGGAGGGGGGAGGGTTAGGTAGAAGGGGGGGAGGGGAGAGGAGGGGAGGAGGGGGAAGGGTTAGGTAGGAGGGGTTAGGTAGACAGGGAGGGTTTAAGGAGGGAGGGGAGGGGAGAGGAGGGGAGGAGGGGGGAGGGTTGCGTAGGAGGGATTAGGAAGACAGAGAGGGTTAAAGAAGGGAAGGGAAGGAAGGGAAGGGAAGGGAAGGGAGAGAGGAGGAAGGGGGTGTTCATATTTTATAGCGACTCACCAGGCATTTTTTTCGTTATTTTTAGAAGAGTCTTCGATATTCCCGTAAAACAAATATCACATAAACACTTCAGTCTTTACAAGTTCACTATTCCACCACGCAGGCACTCCATATGCTTCGATTACCTCCCTGGTGCATTTCAAGAGTGTGATATCATACCCATAAATGTTTTTATCAGCATTTCAACAGATGATGTCAGCTTCATCATTTCAACATCTTTATCAGTTCGCCGACGTTGCAGGAATTGGATCCCAGCTTGCAAGCACGTCCTCTTACGTCACCTTTTCCTCTATAATTCCAAATACATCAACTGAACGCTCTCTCCGTCGTACCACATATATATAATTTCTCAGGACGTTCCCCTGTCTATCTCTCCCCGGTTCCCACGCTTATCTCCCGAAACGTGTGACGAGTTAATCCAGGTTTTCACTCTTAAAAGATGCTCTCCTTGTACAATACCATTTTAGAGTCTCTCTTGATACTTCTCGAACGCGGCTGCCACGTATAAAAAAAAAGGTGGGAGGGGAATTCCCGGAGAAGAAAAACGATAATAACTGAGAAGGCCAAAGATATATATGCCTTCCTTCCCTCCAGAAAGATCTTATGACACAGCTTTTCTTAGGGACTAGGACACCTCTCTGTGTAAGATGATTTTAGGTGAGAATATTGTGTGACATAACCACTATATTCATTTCATTTATATATCTATTTATTTTCTGTTATCTAGGAGGATATGGCAACTCAATCCTTATATTTCTTAGA